AGTGCGCTACTATTTTATTGGAGTTCTTTCCTGGGGAACTCTTCTAAATCCTCTGCATCCTAAATTGTACCAAGAGGCACTTATGGTCAAGGGTTACCTCTTACTAATCTCCAAAAATTTTAAACAGTAGGAGCATAAAATACTCCAGGAATGGCTGATTTCCCACGCCTCTGATGGCCATGCTCCCTCAGCATCTTTGGGCATGTGTCTTTGGGCATCTTCAAACAGTAGCTCCAAGTCAGTGGATGTTTACTGAGAGATCAGTGTCTGCCCAGCACTGTGCTAGTCACATATGAAAATTAGTTAATGGAAATAAAGGATATGGAACAATGTCTAGCACAGAGTAAATCATTGCTATTATTACTACTCTGAACAGACATAAAGGCTGACTCCAAGACACACCGTGTCCTGAGTGACCAATATTGGCATTCGCGACCTTTGCAATCTGACTCCCAGACTCTCTGCCTGCTGTGGACATCCAGATTTCTTTTCCATTATCTCCTGCAGCCTATTCTATGTTTTTTGTAACCACATCCTTATTTCTTGCAGGAAAACCACCTCCACCAAACTCTCCTTCCTTGTTATTGGAAGAGACATGGCCTCATCCCAGCTCCGAGTGAAGCACATGAGCTAGATCTCAACCAATCAGTGAAGTTCACATTGTTTTGGGCACAGTGATTGATTGAAGGATGAGCACATGACCAATCAGAAGCAGCAAAATGTAATGTGATGTCTTTTTGCCATCCAGGGAAAGATACACTATTTTCTGCTGAGAGAATGCAAGGTCTGACTCACACGTGTATGTTTATAGCAGCACAATTAACAATGGCAAAGATGTGGTACCATTGACTAAATGCCCATTGACTGAGTGGATAAATAAAATGTGGTGCATATATACCATGGAATACTACTCAGACATTAAAAGGAACAAAATAATGTCTTTCTCAACAACTTGGATGGAGCTGGAGGCTATTATTCTAAGTGAAATAACACAGGAGTGGAAATCCAAAAACCATATGTTCTCACCCATAGGTGGGAGCTAAGCTGTGAGTAAGCAAAGATATATGGAGTGGACTTAGAGACTCACAAGTGGGAGAGTAGGAGGGGACTAGGAATTTTAAAACTACACATTAGGTACATGCACATTATTCAAATGACAGATGCACTAAAATCTCAGAATTCCACTCTGTAATTCTTCCATGTAACAAAAATCCACTTGTACCCAAAAAGATATTGAATTAAAATAATAATAATAAAAAAAGCCCGGGTACAGTGGTTCATGCCTGTAATCCCAGCACTTTGAGAGGCCGAGGCAGGTAGATCACTTGAGGTCAGGAGTTGGAGACCAGCCTGGCCAACGCGGTGAAACCCTGTCTCTACTAAAAATACAAAAATTGGCCAGGTGTGGCCGTGTATGCTTGTGATCCCAGCTACTCAGGAGGCTGAACCAGGAGAATCACTTGAACCCAGGAGGCAGAGGTTACAGTGAGAAGCGATGGTGCCACTGCACTCCACCCTTAGTGACAGAGTGCGACTCCATCTCAGGAAGAAAAAAACACAGAGAGAGAAACAGAGAGAATACAAGGTCTGGAGTTGTTGCAGCCCTTCTGTGACACGAGAGAAAAGACTGTCTGGGATGAAGCTCATAACTGAAGTCAAACAGTAAGTTGTGGAAGCATAGGGTCTGGACATGTTTTGATGAATGTCCAGATGGATACCTAAAGGTACACCTGGCTCTTACTCATGTGAAACAACAGATTCCTTCTGTCTTCAGCTGGTGCGTGTTGGGTTTTGTTGTTTACAACCAAATGTATTAAGTAGCATATAATTTGCTCTTGTTTTCTGTAATTTTACTATTGAAGAACATTGAAATATGCCTAAGACACTGGGGATTTTAGCTAAAGTTAAAAGGTTAAAACACAGGCACACACTCTGCCCCTCCTCTCTGTTTTTATCAGCTCAGAAACAAAGCTCAGAGATAGCAGTGTCAGAGGATCTAGGAGCTGACTTCACTCTCCCCATAAATTTTCTTTCCCACATTGTCTTGCCTTTTACAAGCCTGAAAATACTCTCTTCTTTGTCTTGTCACTATATAAGATTTATGGCTCTTTGTTAAAATACTACTTAAGCTAGATCCCTAAGCCACTGCCTTGAGAAAGAAATGTTTTGAACCGAGGCCTCTCCCCCATGACGGGTAGAACACGCATTAACAGAACTTTTTCTTTTGTTCATGGGACTTTTGTTTTCAGGAAAGCATGTCAGCTAAGATCCTATAAAGGGAAAGGGAAACAATTATGTTTCTCTCTACACTGTCTTCTGTGTGTCTCCATAATTTTCCACTTTTCTAACTTGGTTCAACTTAATCCTTCTATCTGGGATGGCCTTTTGCCCATCCTCATATATCTAAAATTCTCTTCATTTTTCCAGAGTTTAGGTCAAATGATGCCTTTTCTATAAGTAAGTTAGTATTCAGGGAAGGTGAGGCATCAGCTCAGCAACTGACTCCAAAATGGTCTGAGAAACCCATGTTCTGTGTGTCGCAGTTGCACCTTTCCTCTAACTGTAACTGTTCTGAATTTTTCATAAGGATTCAAAAAGTTAAGCCCTTTGACAGGCTTATTATCAATAGAGAGAACTTTACAACCATATTATTAATATAATAACACTCTTCCTGTTGGAGTGGATTTGAAATAGCCCAAAACGTGTCCATTCTCTTAGACAAGGTAGATGGGCCCTTGTCAAATGGGCAACATATTCAGGATTTATCTGCATTCCTTGCACACAGTAGGTACTCTACAGATATTTTTGAATGAATGGGTGAACAGGAATGGATTCTACACACAGGCATCAATGCACTGATTGCATTTGGAAATTCATGAATCATTTTTCTATTTTATGACGTAAGAAATGATTATTAGTGTTCTAGAGTCTAATCCCTCCGTTCAAATAGGAGAGTAAAAAGGAAATTTTCTATCAACTGAAATAACTGCTTCCTCACTATGTAACGGGCTAATTGAAGACTCATGCAAGACTAATGGATTCTTGGTGAAAGGAATGGATGCATGAAGGGAACCTGATATCATTGCACAATGACAAGAGCAGCAGTTATTTATCAGAAGAATAAATTGGATTTGCTTGGCTCGTGGCCCTGCCCCTATTGTGATGCTAAGTGCACATTTGCAGCGACTCATCTGGTTCTCCTGGGCCTCCCTCTGCTTTGTCTTCTCTCATTTGTTGGTGCTTCTTGCATCAGATAGCCCCTCTGCCTGACTCTATGAGTGCAATGACATATGTAGGCATAAAACCTGCCAACACCATCACGGCGACTGCACCTCAGAAAACAGAAAATTTTCACTCTTTTAGCAACCAGCAGGAGGTCATACTCAGACTGGTGCTGCAGGTCTGACCTCAAATTCTAATTCCACTTAGAAAGCCTTGACTTTGACTACTCCTTCAAAAAGGTGCTGTCAAAGTGCCTGGTGGGGTACTTTCACCCTACATCTCATGTTGCGGAAAGAGAATCACATCAGAGCCCATTTCTGGTCCCGTAACAGTGCTTGTATGACTTTGATTAATCGTTTGACATCCCCAGGTTTCAGGCTGCTGATCTGGGAAGTGGACATGGCATTACCAGCCCTGAGTTCTTCACAGAGTCATAGTGAGGGTCAAATGCATGTGAAAATGCCAAGAAAGTAAAGCAGCTTCCAACACCCCAAAATTCCATCAATATGTAGATGCTAGAGCAGTCATTATAGAGGCATGAGACATTACAGCAAAGAGCAGATAGAATGGATTAAGGAACTCTGGGCCGATCTCCCGATAAACTGGAATGGTGGCCCTCCGCCGAGATGAGCCTGGCCCTCTCCCACGCCTGTGGTTGGCAGCATCACCAAGAAGGTGTCTGGTTACTGGACAAAGCTGTATAGCATAAAGTCTTATTTTAGCATACGTTAATTTAACCTGCATCTCGAACAGGTAACATCCATGGCATCTGGTGATGTTTGGGACAGCAGAGAGACAGCATCTACGGAAATGGTGTGTGGTGTCTTCACTTCTCTCCCCATCTAGGAAGACGTGGCCCTTGACATCTTTTCTTACCTCCTTTTCCATTCTGCTCCGTCGTGGCTCTCCCTCTCTTGCGTATTTTCTCTTCTACTACTTCCCTCTCTTCAAGCCACAGACACACTTAGACAACCCCTGCACAGAAAGTCAAACCTCTGCAATGCCATCATTGCAAGCTGAAGAAATCCCCCCTCCTCTCCCCATCCCTTAGGCAGGTGTTCCATGGTCTAAACATTCTGCCTCTTCAGTCTTTTGATGGCCTCGCACCAGAACTGCTTCCCAGAGGCCCCCACTCAGCTCCTCACTTCCTCACCAGGTGGTCTTTCCCCATCACCATCCTTGAGCTGCGGTCCAGCCACCCCCTTCCTGGTGCTTCCCCTTCCCATGAGGCATCCTGCACTCCCCTCTCTAGGAGCTCCTCCCAGCTTTCTCAACTGGACTTCTCCACCTTCCCCCCATGGACTCCTAAGTCGAGATCTATCCCTCGGCTCAACTCTTTCCCACTCTCTCTGTCCACGTTCTCTGACCTTCTCAGCCCTCCTACGCCCTGGCTAGCACTCTCTGAAGAGGACTCCAGAGCGTGAACTCTCCTGGCTCACTGCCAGCTGTGTGTAGCAACTCCTGGGTGTCCTAACCTGTGTGTGCCAGCAGACACCCCTGCTCACCATTTGCCCACTGAGATGCTTATGACCCTCACACCACCTTCTACCTCAAACTCTGTATTTCTATCAGATGGACCAACATCCTTTCAGCCATGCACACTGGAAACAGTGGAGTCATCTGCATTCCCCCTTGAATTCTCGGCCAGCCCTGGGAACTATTTCATTCTTTTTGCTGCTAGTTGTGCTCAAGCCATTGTTGCCGTTCTCCCAAATGCTAACATTCCAACTGCCTTGCCTCCCACCCCAAGTATCTCTTTTTCTTACTTTTTCTCCCCCAAGCCTCAGTCTTGCAAGACTGCAAGTGCAGCTTTCATACGAGGTGTCAGAAATTTAAAAAATTCATCACAGTTTCCCAAGTGTCTATGTTTTCTAACACAACTGCCTGGTCCATCTTCTTAAATTACAACATACAATTTCCAAATTCAAAAGCTGTCAGCCCCCTCGGCCACTTCTCATGTTGCATTCTACAGAGTTCAATCTCCTCCTCTTGGCATCTGAGCCCCTTGTGGGTCTTGTCCCAGCCAACTTTTGCAGCTTTATTTGCTGTCCTACTCCCCTTCACATGGACTGCATATTCCCTTATAAATATAGTATTTGCCATGACCCAAGCATGCCCTGGACTTCCCTACCTCTGGCCCTTTGCTCATGCAAGTTCTTCTCTGAGTACCCTTGCTCACTTTCCATCTCTATTCGTCAAAATCCTTTGAAGCCCAGCTCTTATCCACCTGCCAGAAAGTCTTACCTGATTCCTGCTTTTCTGTCATCCTCATTAAAACCATGGACATACATACCCCTTTTCTTCACTAAACTATAGATTCCTTTAGATAGCAGGCCGTATCTCACTCACTAATGAATGAATGCCACCCATCCTATGGTACCCAGCAATAATTATTTGTTATGATAAATTCATTTGCTGAAATAAATTCTCCTGGAGTCAATTCAAAACCTCCTCTGAAATTAACCATGATGCCTTTCTTCTAATGTTTTCATTCCCTTAAAATTTTTTGAATCATCTAGGTAGACTTCCCAGGTGTCTGGTGACAACAACACCCATCTTGAAACTTCAGGAAAGAATAATAATCCAATTCACATGGAACAATAGAACAATGTTAGATAAGGGGATGTTTGTGAACTATAAAATACCCAGAGGAGAAATGCTGCTTGAATATTTAATTAGCAGTGATACAAGCGACATGGTTTGGCTGTATCCCCACCCAAATCTCATCTTGAATTGTAGTTCCCATAATCCCAACGTGTTATGGGAGGCACTGGTGGGAGGTAATTTAATCATGGGGTAGGGAGCGGTTACTGCCATGCTGTTTTCATAATAGTGAGTCAGTTCTCACAAGATCTAATGGTTTTATAAGGGACCTTCCCCGCTTTTGCTTGGCACTTCTCCTTTCTGCCACCATGTGAACAAGGATGTGTTTGTTTCCCCTTCTGTGGTGATTGTAAGTTTCCTGAGGCCTCTCAAGCCATGCAGAACTGTGGGTCAATTAAACCTCTTTCCTTTATAAATTACCAGTCTTGGGTATGTCTTTATTTATAGCAGGAGAACGGACTAACACAGTAAGAAACTGAAGGAGCCACAGGAGAGCTGCCCCTCTTGACGTTTCAGTTCCCTGAAAGCTTGGGGTCTCCTGTTTCTATGGCCAGGGAAAGAGATAATTTCATTTCCAGTGTGAAATAGAAGATCTACTAAAGTAAAGTGAATTGGACATGTCTACACATTGATAGGGTGGAGAGAGCCAAACAGACTCTGAGCAGGGCCAGCTTCAAGAGCATGCAACATGGGCACACGTACATGGCCCAGTGCCCAGAACAGAGCACTGGCTTAATGCTTGACTGCTGCCATGTAGAAATTTCTAATTTTTTAACAAAGAGCCCCACATTTTCATTTTGCACTGGGCCCCACAGATTACACAGCCTGTCCTGGTCTGGGCCTTGGATGTCAGAAGACAAAGGATGAAGAAGTGCTGAGGAGGTGACGTTAGTGAGCTGTCACATATTGAATGTCACTTGATGCTTGCTCTACAGGAAAAAGTCACATATTTGCTTAAAAAAAAAAAAACATAATTCAAGCTACTGCTCTTCTGTTTTGCAAGCCAGCCTATGAAGGCATTATAAGAAACTTTCTTTTCTAGAGGAAGGAGTAGAATTTCCCTTCAACTAAAGGTTTCCATGTGGAATCATGAGACCAATTAAAAATTATAATATGCAAATGTCTCTGGCATGTATGCTTATAAATGTGTTTACAAATACTCCAGGGTGGCATGTCTTGACTGCAAATTATGCAGCCTCTAGTCTTTTGGAATATTTCTCAAAATTTCCTTTTAGAAAATGGCATTATATGACCATAAATAGTTTACATCCACAACCTGCAAGTTTCCTTAAGTGGAATATCTCGGTAAGGGATCGTGTATGTCTATCACACCTGAGAAAGTGTTCCTCTATTAATTAGAAGAGTTAAGAAACCTGTATTTTCTAGGCAAATGCCTGCATGGAGGAGCTAGAGGGTTTAACTACAATATTTGTCTTGTGACTCATTTTGGCTTTGACAGTTTGACTACAATAATTATCACTTTCTTAGGCAATATTTAATGAAGATGATAAGATAATCTTGTGCACTAGTGCACTTTCTCATTGAATCTTTTTAATCCATTATAATAATGATAGAAAAAAATGAAGTTGTTATTAAGCTAACTCAAGACTGAATTTTCATATATGTTACCAAAAAAAATGGTGCTTCATAATATGTAATTTTAAAGTGTGGCTATACCATATTTACTTGTGTAGTGGGATTTTAAAAGTTATATGAATGAAAGCACTGACATTCTCTTTTGAGGTGGTGGGGGCTTGCTCTCATTATTTAGGAAAATATCTTGATAAGCTGCTTGTGGGGTTGAAGGGAAGATCCTCAGGTTGACTTAGAACAAGTTAATAAATGACGTGGGTGAGCTGCTCTGTATGAGGGAGTCAAGGAGAGGAGAGAAGCCAGGAGAGAAAGATTGAAGAAAGGAGCCCAGGGACTTCTAAACAGAGAATACCTATTATTCAATTTTGAGTTACAAATCACTTCTGCCTCCCCAGCTTTCCTTCAAGCCTACCACCCCCACAAATGCCTCGAGTGTGGAAATCAAGGGAGGGGGAGAGTTAAGCACTTAGAGTGGCTGTGAGCAGGCAGACTCTTGGGACCTGCCAAAGCAGAAACTGGGATTTGCTGAAACCTCGGGGAACATGCCCAGACCCTGGGGCTGCCCTGAGTTTCATATAGCCTCTCCTTCAATATTACCTCTAATTTTCAAAAAGAAAGTATGTTTCCCTGGGAAATTCTCCCCAGTGAATTTTTTTTTTTTTTCAGACAGAATTTGTCTCTGTCACCCACTCTGGAGTGCAGCAGCATGATCTTGGCTCACTGCAACCTCCACCTCCTGGGTTCAAGCAATTATCCTGCCTCAGCCTCCCAAGTAGTTGAGATTACAGGCATGTACCACCGTGCCTGGCTAATTTGCGTATTTTTAATATAGACAGGGTTTTGCCATGTTGGCCAGGCTGGTCTCAAACTCCTGACCTCAGGTGATACGCCTGCCTTGACCTCCCAAAGTGCTGGGATTACAGGTGTGAGCCACCACACCAGGCCTGTTTTTAATGATTAGAGGGAATTACTATGACTGTCAATGGAGCTTCCAACTCCTCCTCTACCTCCCTTCCAAGGGAAGACTTTATCTTGAACAAGCCCACAAAAGATTAGACAAGAAATGGCCCCTGCCTCTGCAATGGGTACCTTCTCTTCTCACTTTCTCCATTGGAACTTCAAGCTGGTCATATTTTCTATTCTCCCAAGCCCTATGGAAAAACTCTGCAAGAAACTGGAACGAGGGCAACCACCAGCATCTTCTTCACTCATGGTTAATGTCCTTAATGGCTCAGTCTTTCCCTCTCTGTTCTTCCCCAGCCGCTCCCTGGAAATCTTAAACACACTCACAAAGTGGGTCCTCTTCCTCAGCTTCCTCTCAAACACCCCGTATTTAAAATGTGTTTTTGGCTCAATCTTTCTTTTTCCCTTCTTCCCCAGCCACTCCCTGGAAACCTTAAACACAGTCACCAAGTGGGTCCTCTTCCTCAGCTTCCTCCCAAACACCCCATATTTAAAATGTTTTTTGAGCGCCAACTGAGTAAGGTACAGACCTATGGCACTCTTGCTTAATAGCATTTTTTTTTTCCTTTTTAGGAAGAAATTAAGAAATGGCTAAAAGAAGAGGAAAATATTGGAAAACTCACCCACTAGAATAGCCATACTAAATAACTTGCCAGTAATGTATTGCTGTAACTCACAAATAGCCTGAGGCTAAGGTCACTTGCTCTATAAACCCGTGAGTCAGCACCCACGGCATACTCTAAAATCACCTCCTCTCCGTTTCTGGATGGTTCCTCCCTCTAGGGTCTGGGAGATGAGGACCAAGTCCATTTCACTCCAAAACTGCATAATGAGGTAGCCTGAGGTGAGATGGGTGGCTAAGGGTTGTTTGAAGCCAGAAGAAGAGAAACTGGGAAGCTTGTTTTCATGTGTGAACAGTTTTCTTCCTGAGTGGGATGTGTTGCATTTTGATGTAATCTGTTCTTTTTTTTTTTTGAGACGGAGTTTCACTCATGTTACCCAGGCTGGAGTGCAATGGTGCGATCTCGGCTCACCGCAACCTCCGCCTCCTGGGTTCAGGCAATTCTCCTGCCTCAACCTCCTGAGTAGCTGGGATTATAGGCACGCGCCACCATGCCCAGCTAATGTTTTGTATTTTTAGTAGAGACGGGGTTTCACCATGTTGACCAGGATGGTCTCGATCTCTTGACCTCGTGATTCACCCGCCTCGGCCTCCCAAAGTGCTGGGATTACAGGCTTGAGCCACCACGTCCGGCTTAGTTCTGGGGAAACATGCCAAAGATCTGTTCGAAATTCATGGAGCAAAGAGACTACTGGAAAGGAGAGGTTTGAGAAAATGTGGCTTCGGAGTGCCAAGGACCTCTGTATAGTCATCTCAGATGCTGTTATTTTTGTGGGCACAGCTGCCAACTCTGCAGGGTGTTGGTGACAGAAATGTGTTTCCCTCCTAAGTGATGGCTGAAGCTGCCCTTTGCCCATACACTCTTTTGTGCCTTACAGAGCTGTGAGCATGTTCTTAGAGCAACTGTTGGACCATGAGGATGAGATATCGAGGTCTATGGGAAAGGCACACAGGGTTGTGTCTCACCTCACCCCAAGATGGGGGACTCACCAGGACTCCAGGTTCACCTCGCCCAGCATAGCCTGGAACACAGGCAGGATTTAAGACCAGGTAGCCCAGTTTAAAGAAATG